CCAGTGAAAGTGCCATGTCAGCTATTAGCACTTTTTAAATTAAAGACAAGCATAGAAAAACACAAACACTTTAGAAGTAAAAGAAAATCACTGATACACAAAACACAATAATTTGCACCAAACCAAGATAATCTCCACAAGGACTAAGGCTCCCTTTTGTTGTTTGTTTTCTTGTTTACTGTATTCCCTTCATTAGCACAATAAATGACCCATAGAAGATGCTAAAAAAAAAAACTATAGAATGAATATAGTAGAAATTCAAAATGTTAATTTTTTCACATTAATATTTTTCCTCACTAGATCTAAATTTAACATATAATATGAATGGGATACATGACTACCCATCTCTTCCTTACAATGACCTACAAGTCCTCTAGCATGAAGAGGTCATCTGGCATTACTTCTCTGACCATATCTCCCACTAATTCTCTCTCCATTCATTTTGCCCTACACACAGGTCTCCTTATGGGTCAAATATGTCAATCACACCCCCACTTAGGGACTATGCCTTGGCTCTTCCCCCAGTCTAGAATACCTTTCCTCCCAAGTAATTTCATGGCTACCTCTTTCCCCTCCATCAAATCTTTGCTCAAATATCACCTTCTCAATAAGGCCCTACCTAGACTACCTTATTTAAAACTGCAACTCAGCCACTAAACATTAAACCCTATCCTCCTATTCCATGGAACTTATCACCTTCTTACATATACATAATTACTTATTCATTGGGTTTATTATTTATTGTCTATCTCTCCCATACCAGAAATAGAGCAAGAGCTCCAATAGAGCAAGAGCTTTTGTATGTGCTATTCCTTGCAATATCCTTTGAGCTCATAAGAGTGCCTGGCACACAGCAAACATTTAATAAATATTTGCTGAAATGAATGAAGAAATTACTGTAATATGGTTATCAATATATTTGAAAAATGCCTGGAATCTCTACACAAATTTATTACTATCTTGCTTGGGCCATGCGATACCTTTAATGCTATGCACAGAGATTGTGACTACCTTATTCAACAACAGCATGAAAACTATCTCAGAACAACAGCTGTATTCATTACTGGAAAAGGTACAAGGCTCTTGGCTGCCTGCTTGTACCTAAGGGCAAAATGAAAAAGCTTCCTGCTCAAAGGATTTGGCCGCCTCTGACTAGGTTCTTCACAGATGAATCATCCTATCCTGGCTCATCCTATCCACAACAGATAGCTTAAAATCAAAATTCTTTGGTTTCCTGTAAAATATATTAACTCTCAACAACTCTGTCAGGTAGATATTATTATATTATTTCCCCCAAGTCACATAATTCTTTAGAGAATATTTTTTTATTTTGTGAATCACTATACAAAATTTAAAAACATAAACGAGAAAAATTTATAAAATCAGTCATATCTTTTATATAATTAACCATAATACTGTTCAGAAGCAACAAAGGCACTATCTGTTTTTAGACAGGTCACGAAGTCAACACCCAAGTATTAAGAAAGTGCAAAGCAATCAGATGCCTATTAATTAACCATAATACTGTTCAGAAGCAACAAAGGCACTATCTGTTTTTAGATAGGTCACGAAGTCAACACCCAAGTATTAAGAAAGTGCAAAGCAATCAGATGCCTATTATTTAAAAAATAAGTTTCTTAACTGCTTAAGAAATTAAAACACCAAACAAAAATTAGAAACTAAAATTTTAATCTAATCTATACTAACAAATAACAAATCCAGTATCTACACAATGAAGTCTTTTTTCTTTCATACTATTTGCTATTCCTTCTACAGGCAACTGGCTATGGCTTTAATAACCAAGGCTGAAAGCCTCTGAAAGGAAGGTCAAAGCAAGTATGTAAGGTTAGTTAATGCAAAACAACTAGTGAACAAATTCTATCAATCATAAACTTGAACAGTTAATAGAGCCAAAACTTCAGCCGTTAGATTATCAACGCAATATATTTTTCAAAGTTAAATGAATAAAAGGCTAACGAGATGTACATATGAATTTAAGGTGAGACAAGTCAGTGTGGTTTTATGTTTTCCTCCAGTCATGGTCTGGTAGCTAGCTGCTCACGGGTGCCTTATAAGCTGTGAGTTGGGGCTTTACCAGGAAGGTACAACAGTACAAGAATGGGGCAAGGTATATGCAGTGTGATGATTATAACAACAGATTTAAGCCAAGCAAAAAGAGATGTGAGGATGTGGAAGAATGAAGCAGGATGAAAAATGCAGATAGGCCAAGAGGTTAAAGATCCTGGTGTGGCTGTTACCAGAGTGAGCCAGAGAGACGAAATGTCATGGTTGGAAAATGAGACACCCAACACAGCGATTTTGGAAGGGTACAGTTAATGATAGTAGAATCTTCCTTTACAGATATGTGAACTGGAAATATCCCAATAAACAATTTGCCTAAAGTGTAAGCACTGCTGAACTTAGTGTAAACAAACCCCCTGAGGACAGGGATCATCTCTATCTTTCAAACCCATATGCTTAGCACAGTGCCTAGCATTACCAATTAATAAATACTTGTTTATATAATTTTTTAAAAGTGTACTTCTGTTCCATAAGAGGTTTAACGGACATTGTTTAGATTCTGTGCAATGTGAAATCTTGGAGAAGAGTGTAGTATATGAGCAGAGCACATCCTGAGAAATAAATGTTTACTATGATGAAAAAGGAGAGGCCGGGCGCAGTGGCTCATGCCTGTAATCCTAGCACTCTGGGAGGCCGAG